GCAGTCCGAATACAATAATTTCAGCCAATCAAGCTCGTAAGTGGTATCTCGCGTTGGGCAAAAATGCATGGGCGGGCCGTCCCGTGCTCGACAAGTTCTACACGTTGGGCCAGACCATTGCGCCGCTGACCGTGGATTGTCTCGCATTCTTTACGACAATGACGTGAACGAGACGCTGTCTGGTACACGACTACGAAATCCGCAACGTTCCGGCAGACGCAGTGAATTGCTACCAGTGCCTTGGATCGGCTTCTGCGCAGTGGCGCCCACTGCAGCGAACGGCGACATGTGCGTGGAAGCGTTCGTAGTAGGTCGCAACAACCGTCGGCTGGAGAGGAAGTACTGATCATGCCTTTGAAGAAGAAGAGTGATCGATCAACATTCGCTGGTCGAACGGCTGCAAACGTACTTGAAAACCAATTTGGCGCCACCCAAGCGATATTATAACAAAGGAGCGCTATCTTGCAGAAATAGGGTCAACAAGGCAGCGTGATTGCGCTACATGTAGTAAATGTTTATGGCATCTTGATCAATTCATTACATCATTGCGAAGCAATAGCAAGGAGATAGTTTATGCTCGGTATTCCGACACCGTTGCCGATCGTTTCTGTGGTAGCTCGCTGAGTTTCAAGACGAGGACGATGTAAGTGAGGTCGATAAGGGAAAGCAAATCGAAAAGTCAGTTGGTCCATGAGACTCAGAAATGGACCTCAGATTTGCAATGCGGATCTGCCTCACAAAGTTAAATATATTGATACTAGCTATATTTACATTTCGTATCCAAAGCCATGCAAGCTCGGCTGGCGCAATGGATAGCGTATCAGACTTCGAATCTGGGGGTTGCGGGTTCGAGTCCCGCGTCGAGTAATTTTTGGCCCTTTAAATGTTCCGTTTTATTTTAATTTATGGTTGTACATGTTTGCGAATTCTTATTGCATGTATTAATACTTCTGGTACTGGTATAGCCAATCTCGCGCGCGTTGAACATTGATGCGTGCCTCACCACTACAAAGTGGTGCACGTGTCCTGCTCGGACGCGAATCAGGTATAGTAGCCCCAACCCTGCCTACAGCCTTGCAACAGCTCTTGCAACACGCTCGTATCTCAAGAAGAGACACTGCGTCACCAACATGATTGTCTGTCCACACCTGTGTTTTGGACAAATTATTCCGACGTGCAAGGTTTCCAGCGATACATCCTGTGCATGGCCCGAGTGATGGTGCCAACTGCGAGTGCTGGTCATATGCCCATCATTCTGAACCCACCGCCCGAAACGCAACCTTCAAATTAGAAATGGCCATGAGCTTGACAGGCCACGTCATTGCGATCACGGGAAAGCTCTCGCTGGGCACGCGCGCCGATGTCCAGTCGCTTGTCGAGGCCAACGGCGGCGTCTTTGCGAACGCCGTCACGAAGGAGGTCACGCACCTCGTCACGAACGACCCGACGGCCAAGTCGACCAAGCTCGAGACGGCGCGGAAGCGAGGCATTAGCGTCGTTGGCGAAGAATTTTTGCCGACGGCCAAGCGACACAAGGCGGCGACGGTTGTCTACCACGCTGCGTGCCTCGCAGGCCTGGTGTTCTACTTCCACGGGCCGCCCGGCGCCGTCCCACACGACGACTGCGTCCGGTTTCTCCTCGAGCACGGCGGTTCGCACGTCGCACAGCACGACGCCACCGTGACCCATATTGTCTACGCCGGCAAACTCCCCATGTACATTACATGAAATTCTCCCAAAATACCGGACAACTCACGTTTTTTGTAGCTCGAATCTGACGACCGGCGACGCGGCGATCATCGCGTATGACTTTTTCTCGACGCTCATGGCCGCGCAGTACGAAGCGCTCTTTGGCGACGACGCGCCGTCCGAGACGCCGACGCCGAAGCGAGTTATGGCCGAAGGCGAGGCGGTCGAGATCCAAGGCGGGCACGGCACCTACGAAGTGCGACTGCGCAACGGCGTCTACTACTGCACGTGCATGGCGTGGAAGATGCAGCACCAGGCCGGCGCGATTCGCACGTGCAAGCATCTGCGCGATGTGCTGGGTGATGCGTTCGAGGCGTGGCGCACCAAAGGCTGCCTGCCATCGAGCCCTTCAAAGGCCAAGGGCAACTCGTCGCCGACCAACAAGGGACCGGCGCCCAAGGTGCTTCTCGCGCACAAGTACGAAGACGGGAATGACATCGCCGGGTGGTATATGAGCGAGAAATTCGACGGCGTCCGCGGCTACTGGGACGGATCAACGTTTCTGAGTCGCCTTGGGAACCCATTTCCAGCCCCCGCGTACTTTACGCAGCACCTCCCAAAGGACCAGCACTTGGACGGTGAGCTCTTCCTCGGGCGCAAGCAGTTTGAAGCTACGATCAGCATCGTCAAGAACGGCCAACCGGAGAATGCAAAGAACTGGGCGTCGCTCACCTTTATGGTGTTTGACATCCCGAGCATGAAGGACCAGCCGTTTGAAGCGCGCTACGAGTACCTCCGCACACACTTGGGAAAGACGCCGTACGTGACGGTCGTCGACCACGTCAAGTGCGCGTCCGTTGCCGCCATGACAGCCGAGCTCGCGCGCGTCGAGGCGCTCGGCGCGGAAGGGCTCATGCTGCGCCAGCCAGGCTCCAAGTACGTCGGCGCGCGCTCCAAGTCCCTCCTCAAAGTCAAAAGTTTCTCGGACGACGAGGCCAAAATCGTCGGGTACGAGCCCGGCCAAGGCAAGCACAAGGGCCGCACGGGCAGCTTGAAGTGCCTGAGTCGGTCCGGGAAGAGTTTCAAGGTCGGGTCCGGCCTCAACGACGCGCTGCGCGAGCACCCGCCTGCGATTGGTACGATCATCACGTATCGGTTCCAAGAGCTCACCGCCGCCGGCATTCCGCGCTTTCCCACGTACGTTGGCATCGCCATCGACAAAGAGTGGACTGACTAGACATTTACGCATATATAAATTTATTTCAACTACACTTTATCCTCCCCTGTGCGGCTGCACAAGTGCTGCTACGTACAACAGTGGCACGTGGGCTCTGACGCCAACCAGCCTCGCGGGCCTTGACAGCTTCCATCGCCGGCAGCTGCGTCGTCTGCTCGGGAATCTTCCCCCGAACATGTTTGCCGACGTCGCGCTTTACGCCCGCTGCAATAGCGAACCGCTAAGTGCGATCGTCGCCCGCAAGCGCTGGCGCCTTCTGGGTCATTGCTGCGGCTGGGTCGCGACGTCCCGGCGAACGTGGCTGCTGCCCGCTTCTTCGCTCCGTCCGAGACGCCCCGCCACTTAGGGCGCACCAAGATTACGCTGCAGATCGTCCTGCACCGCGACCTCCAGTCGCTGACGCCGCCTCAGTCGCTGGCGTCTCTCGAAGACCTTGACAAACTTCTCAACTTTGCCGCCGACCGCGACGCCTGGAAGGACTTTACCTTGTCCAGTGTCTCACTCGCGGCCACCAGCGTCCTAATAGGAACTAACTAAAGACAACGACTTTACGAAGGCTTTTATATTGAAGGAAGCGACCGAAAGTGCACTGGCAGAGATGTGGCTGGCGCCCGAGTCGGTTTGCCGTCTTGTCCGCGACTTCTGCCACCTAGCCGTGCCACGTGATGGGCTGCCGAAATCGGTGGGCCTCCGTACGTACGTTTCGTACATATCGTACGTACCGTACAATCCCGTACAGCCGGCCTCTGCCACAGAAAGGCTGTGAGAAGAGCGCCATTGACAGATTCGCCACCAACTCGACAAGATGTCGTACTTCGCTTCGCTCTTCGGCAACGAGATCCAGACCAAGGGCGGCGTGCTCCCGACGACGGAGGCGCTCGCCAACACCAAGGTCGTGGGCATCTACTTCTCGGCCCACTGGTGCCCGCCCTGCCGCGCCTTCACGCCGCTTCTCTCGACCTTCTACGAGGACCTCGTCGAGGACCACGAGGACGTCGAGATCGTCTTTGTCTCGTCCGACAAGGAAGAGGCCGGCTTTGACGAGTACTGGAGCCAGATGACGTTCCCGGCGCTCCCGTACGCGCAGCGCGACATCAAGGGCGAGCTCACGGAGAAGTTCAACGTCAAGTTCATCCCGACGCTCGTCTTCGTCGACGCCGAAGGCAACGTGCTCTCGACCGAAGGCAAGAAGATGGTCGAGTCGGCGCGCGGCAGCGTCGACTTCATCCGCAAGGAGCTCGGCCTCTAGATGACAGTCTCTAATATGAACCACTTGCATTTACATAGCTCATTTCCCTTCGGGTGGCGTAGGCATCTGCGTCCTGAGCTTCACTGCACCTTGGCTTGACCCTTCCTTGATGATAATGAAGACGTCCACTTCAACGCATCGACCTCGCGCCCTTGTTCTCACGGGAATCGCACGCCATGCACATATACGTCTACCTAAGCAAGCACGTCCGTGGGTTGACCTAGCCAAGCACATTGCCTAGTAGATGCACTGATGGCGCCACTGGCAATAGCGAGGAAGCACCATGCAACCGACCGGTTTCGCAGCGACTCGGAACGCAACCGCACGGTTGGACCTCTCATAATACATATTTCGAGTATGCACTGTGAGAGGGATTCCGCAACAACCCATCATGGGCTTCGTGACCAAGACCAACCACAAGCGCGTGCTGTACGTGGGCGGCCTCGAGAAGGGCGTGACCGAGGAGGTCCTCTCGGCGGCCTTCGTACCCTTCGGCCCGGTCAAGGACGTCCAGGTGCCCATGGACTACACGGGCAAGACGCGTACGTCGTTTAGCATGCGGCAAGGGCGAACCTCATGGACGATGCTGTGTGTAGCCAAGAACAAGGGCCATGGCTTCGTCGAGTTCGTCTCGGAGGACGATGCAAAGGAAGCGATGGACAACATGGACGGTGCGCCATTGGCCGCGCGATGCAATGGCTCATGCGGCGATTAGACTCGGAGCTCTACGGCAAGGTCATCAAGGTCACGATCGCCAAGCCGCAGTCGGCGCTGCGACCGGACGCCAAGCGCGCAGGTACGGCGCTACATGAGGCCACGATGCTGAGGTGCTCATGCTGCAACTGCGGTAGTCTGGGACGAGCATGTGGACGAAGACCACATTCTCGAGACGACGGGCGACGCGGCCGCCAAGCCCTAGGCAGCAAGGAACCAAGCAATCCTGTACTATGTATTGATGCGACTCTATCGTTCTACACGCGCGGCTACGGCAGAAGCTCGACGTTGGAGCCTGCGAGGAGGTGCTTGGACGGCAGCGGGCCGCCGACCGGCGCCACGAGCGTCACCGTCTTGGCCTGCTTGTCAATGGCATGGCTAGGACAGCAACGGTATGAGCAAAGACGCAACAAGGGTTCTCACGCACATGGCGACGAAGCCGATGGCAGGCGCTCGGAGAAGGTACTGCGTCGCATCGTCTCGCGCGAGCGTCGGTGGCGGCGGCCGCACGAGGGCAACGACCTGGTGCAGCCACCGGTCCGCGAGGATCGACTCTTTGGCGAGCAGCAGCTTGGCTCGGCCACGCCCGCGCGGGTCCTTGTCTAGTACCCTTAGAACATACCGAATTGTATGGGCGTACCGCGCACACGGTGGAATACGATCGAGGCGGCGTCGACCTCGACGTAGGTCCACTCGCCTTGTGGCGCAAAGTAGCGCTGAAGGCGCTGGTCGCGGGCGGCGCGACGAGTCGGCCCCGAGCGCCGAACGGCGCCGGCCGCGCGCGGAAGGTTGAAGAGCGTCGTGGACGGCGGCGCGTCCTGGAGGAGCTGGTCGTAGACACTGTGGCTCCCGAGCACAACGAGGATGTCGACGGCAAACGCGCGCACGGCGTGCAAGAGCAGCTGGTACCCGAGGTCGTCGACCCACCCACACGTGTTGATGACTGCGCCGTTCACTACAAGCATCAGAAGGGTGTTAGGGTGTGCGCTCTAACACAGCTGTCGATACGTACGCTCGGGGTCGGCGGTGTGGCGCTGCGCAAGGCTCGTGGCGAGCGCCGACGTGTAGTGCTTGAAGGCGCCAGGCACGGCCGAGAGGTTGGCGTCGCCAACAAAGTACTGCATCTTGCGCCCGTGGAACGCCAGCGGGTAGTTGTGGCTGTGGCCAAAGTCGAGCAGATCGTCTTCGTCCGGCAGCGACGCGCGCGTGAGCACGGTGGCGCCGATCGTGCCAGGGATGCTGATCTCGCCTTGGCCAATGTCGAGGTCGACAAAGGCGACACCGTCCTCTGGCCGGTCCTGCAGCGCGTGCCAGAGCAGCGCTCGAGAGAGCGACGACTTGCCCGCGTCCGTCGGGCCCGCGATGAGCACGGTCGGGCCTCGGGTCTCGGCCCGGCGCTGGCTCCACGCGTCCTGCACTGCATCCACGTCCATGGTCAAAAACTTGTTGTGCAATTCGATTGGTTATAATGCGGCCAATCGCATGTCAGTGCATGACACGCATGGCACATTTGGTCGACCAGGAGATCGTGGCGCCGAGGGCCGAGATCCACCGGTCCGGCGTCATTGCGATGGATCGCGTCATGTCGGTGACGGACAAGACGGTCGAGATTGCGTTCCAAGGCGCCAACGACGACG